TCTACTCATGTTATTTCAAACCATCGTAAATTCAGAGAAAAAAATTACAGGTAGCATAAAAGTGAGTTGCATGCTATATTCAAAGTCTTCCAAGTATGTACAATATAGCACAACATTGTGGTTTTAAATTACCAAAAATAAAAAAGGCTATTCAAACAAATCACCAATTTGCATGATATTGCTTTTAATGGGGATGTTCATTGGAAAAATAGAGGACAATATAACTGTAAAAAGTATTGACAGCTTGAGACCCATTTTTTAAATATGTCTATATGATTATGATCAAAGCAAAGGTCTAGAGAAACACTGTAGAGATGCAGCATGCAAGAGATTTAGATGATATGAGTCAGTCTGGAGGCTGTATTCACCAAAAGATGAGCCTTACCTTAAAAAAAAACGCCCGAAATATAGGCCTGCAGTTTAATCCTATATTGATACAAAGTGTTATTTAAGTGTCAAATAAATGGGAACTCAAATGATCTTTATATTACCTAGAGTAAGCCAAGTGACCCATGACCATCTGGATGAAATGCTAAGCACCGATATATCACAATTACAATTTCAGTCTATGAGAAGATGAAGACAAGGACAAGGAAATAAAGTGGACAGCACAGGAACAACAGGTGCATTTAGTGAAAGTACTTTTTTTGTAATTTTTGCATGACATTTTTTTTCATTCCACATAACACTGAACAAGGCCATGAAGCATCAGCAGAATGAATGAAGCATCTCTCCATCTCCATTCTCAATGCTAGAATAACTTGCATGAGATCAAAGGTGTTAGCATTTCAAGAGAAGCTAAATTAAAAAAGAAATTTGCCAAAAAAAAAGAAACATAACTTACATATATTTTTCATGTGAAGGATTATGTTCTAATCCTATAAGAATGATGAACAGCTTAATAGATTACAGCTAATCAGGAGCCCGGGCAGTTAATTTGCATCCTCCCACTGAAATCTCCAAAGAAGAATAACATTAATGTACATACGGCAGGTACAAATGGCATTGCGAGATGACCTCTCCTCATTAACTGATACGTGCATTCTCTGATCAGTCTTAGTGTTTCACCGCAGGTCATTTTTTAGGACAGCCAGAGTGAGACCAGATCACCTCATCACACTTCACATCACTGCTTGGTGGACATGTGTTTAGCTAGCGTGTAAATTTCATTTGCAGGAGGTGACCCGCTCACTGGACTGGTTGAATGAGCAGGTGTGGCCGTAGACTAGGAGTTATATATATATTAAGCATGGTTCACTTTGGGGACAGCAACATCTCGCGTCGATATCGGGCCAGAATTCCCTCCACCAGATTCTCACTCCCAGTTCTCCCAGTCCTCATCTTCCAACTGGTAAAGAAATAAAATAACGAAAACTGAATTTATTACTGCACCTGGTATTGCCATTCCTCTCGGATGATCACATCACAAATGGACAGCACAAAATCCGAAATATCTTGTGATCGAATCACTCAAAAACCATTTGGAGGTGGTCAGACAAACTTATAACCACATTGCAAGAAAGAAACGTAGATTTTAAAATAAAACTTTGGTTTTGTTTAACATTTAATAATGAGTAACATCTAGGGCGACACGATTTGGGCAAAAAAATTAATAAATTATAATTTCGATATTTTTCAGTTTAAAATTGCGGTTGTGGTTTAAAATGTGATTTTTTTTTTTAGGGCTGCAAAATGTTAACAATTTTTGTCTTTATGGTAATATGACTAATAATAATTATTATTATTACTAAATAAAAAAATATTAAAATTAAAATATTACCATTGTAATAACATAATATCAATATAAAGTCATGCAAATATTTAAAAAAAATCTAAAACAATAATATTAATAACAATATTGTTATTAACCATGTTATAAGCAGCTCAGACTCACAGCGCTTGCAAAGATGGAGCAGCATTTACTGCGAACCAAACGAGATGAATAATGACACTATTGTCTTCTGTAGAACTGCTTCATAGCTGAATCTAGTTTGTTCATAATTAACAAATCTTGCAACATTGACACTTATTGAACACTGAACTGAGTTGAGATAAATATCAACACTGCTGTCTTCAGCAAAACTGCTTATCACTGAACTTGTTCCATAACTGATGAACTTTAAACAGTTATTGAACTGAACTGTCTGGAGCTGAATAATGACACTACTGTGTTATTAGAGCTGCTTTACAGCAGAACTTGAATATGCCTCATATTTGATGAAGTTCGCATGATTGTTTCTGTTATTTTTCTGTTTTATACCGTGAAGTTGCTTTGAAACAATCTGTATTGTATAAAGCACTATAAAAATAAAGGTCACTTGACTTGTAAATGCTAAAGCATCCTGATGAGTCGCAGAAAACATCCTATAAGAGGCATCCTACTCGCACATCAATCGACTAATCCGCTAAAACAAGAACTTTGAACTGGCCATGCATAAACATGCACAAGACATCTAAACTCAGTGAAACAAATTCTTTATCTTGGATAAAGGCATCTACCAAATGAGGAAAAGAACACAGTCTAGTCACTGTCCAATCACAGCCAGAAAATAGGAAGTAAAATAGTATTATTTCTAAACATGGTGTAAAGATCTTCAGCATTTCTACTTGATTAACTGATCGTGAAGAACAAACCTCTTCTGTTGCGTCTATTTTAGACAAAGCCATCTGAACCTCTTCTTCTGTCATATCCAGATCGAAATCCTTCTCCCAGTCTTCACTGACATCTGTACTCGAACCTACATGTGCACAAACACACAGTGCAGACATAACATCAGAATTCAATACTTCATTCATATCAAATTATGTGCTACTGTTTAAATGTTGGGGGGGGGGGGTTATATATATATATATATATGCTTCACCAAGTGTACATTTTTTTGATCTGTCAAAACAGTAATATTGTGAAATATTACTACAATTTAAAATAACATTTCTGTTTGAATATACTTTAAAATTTAATTTATTCTTGTGATGTAAAGCTGAATTTTCAGTATCATTACTCCAGTCTTCAGTGTCACATGATCCTTCAGAAATCATTCTAATATGCTGATTTGCTGCTCAAGAAACATTTTTGATTATCAATATTGAAAACAGTTGTGCTGCTTAATATTTTTGTGGATTGATTGATGAACAGAAAGTTCAAAGGAACAGCATTTATTTAAAATAGAAATCTTTTGTAACATTATAAATGTTTCGACTGTCACTTCTGATCAAATGCTATGTTTTGATGTTTAAAAAAAAAAACTATTTCTTTATTCAAAAACAGTTTCACCTTTCTTGCCGTTATTGGAGGGTGTGGATTTGCCGCTGTCTGAGTTGAGCTCAAACACTCGGAGGTCTTGAGCTACGTCCTCTCTGGCGGTCTGTGAGGGTCGCTCCTCCGGGAATGTCTCCTGTAGGCTGGCCTCTGAGAGTTTCTGAGAGACCTCGTCTGCAGCGGGCGATGGCTGCGTGACTCTGATGGTGACGGAGTCCGCTTGATTCTCGATCTGGGTGGGGAAGCTGACGCTGTCGCTGCTTACAGAGGGAGTGACGTCAGATGCGACGTTGCTGGTGGAAACCACCACTTGAGAGGGTGAGGAGCTTTCAGGGGTGGCCTCTATTGTTACCGAAGGGACACATGCCTCTTCGACAGGTGGCGTGAAATCTAAGCGAGAAGACGACGTGGCCCCGAGAAACTCACCTAGAGAAAGACAGAAGAAAGATGGTGATAAAGGAACACAAATGCTCTGCTCTAAAACCTTGTGAGCTGCCTTTTAAGGCAAATAAACAGCAAGGTTAAACTAGCTAGTATGCTTGACACTTTCCACTAAAAATCCAAATAAATTGCACTAAATTATGCAAATTTTAGCCAAACCTTCTTCATCCTCTTCCTCCCAACCAAGACTCTCAGAATGATCCGTCTGCTCTGCTCTCTGCTTCAGCGCTACTCTCCTGGCCTCCTCCTACAAACACACACATTTTAGATAAATAAGGTACAAGATACTGTGCCATTTTATAAATATAGTCACATTAAAGGGAGCTGTACATCCCCTTAAAATGCCACCACATAGATGACAACTTAATGACAACTCATTAAAACAAAAGCCATATTAATTAGTATCCTCATTCTAGAACATATAGACCCAGAACTGTTTTACTGACCAGCTTTTGTGATTTACAGAAAGTTTAAGAATGACATAAGGGTGAGTAAATTTACATTTACATTTAGTCATTTAGCAGACGCTTTTATCCAAAGCGACTTACAAATGAGGACAATAGAAGCAATCAAAATCAACAAAAGAACAATGATATGCAAGTGCTATAACAAGTCTCAGTTAGCTTAACACAGTACACGTAGCAAGTAATAATAGAATAAATCAAAAGAAAACAGAAAGAATTTGCGCGATGGAAGAATTATTGTCTTGTCGTATACAACCATTCAGAAACTCGGCAGAATTTATGTGACCGCTACACCTGATGTTCATAAACTTTCATAACTGGTAAGTGTTTTTTCTTTTGCCTTGAGCCCGTGCAGACCTCTACTAAATCCTGCAAACCAATTGCATATACATACATGACCAGCAGATGGCGCTACCATGTTACTCTTTAACTAACTCAATGCCTGTTTGATACCACACCTAGAACAAATATAAAACCTCAACAAAAGAAAGTGCTGTGCTGGTAAGTTTCCTGTGACTCATACTGATGTCATTATGTTGTTTGAGCGTCTGAGCTGTGTGTGTTCAGATAAGCTCATAAGCCTGATTTCAGCTCAAGGGTCAGTATTAGACACAGATCTGCTGTACCTGCTCCAGCTGGAACACTTTATAGAAGTACCGCTGCCAGAACTCTGAATGAGCCACTGCTGCCGGGACCTGACGCCAACACAAGCAAATTAATTATTTTATTATGTGGAATAACATGCACAGATGAATCGTGGTCAGTAAGGAAGTGCATTAAAGGGGTCATATGATGCAATTTCATTTTTTCCTTTTTCTTCATCATACCATTTTAGTATAAAGAGCTCTTATGGCGGGGCTGTTGACCAGCAGTTCAGAGATCTCGGCTTTCCTCTCTTCCAGTGTGAAACTGGACAACCAGGCATCAAACTGTTGTGGAGGGCCTGGAAAGAGAAAAATACATGGAATACTCTTTAAAACTCTTAAAAACACATCCGTGTTTGAGATATTGAGAAAACATGAAGCATTTACACACCGTCAGGCTCATTGCAGTATGTAGCAGGGTCTGCTTGAAGACTGTAGAGTCGAGCCTGAGAGGAAATGCAGTATATGAATTTAATTATACATGTAAATATGTATGCATGTAGTGTTGTCAAAAGACCCGGTACTTCGGTACCAAGTCGGTACTAAAAAAATGAAAATGTTTTTTTTAAATACCGGTGCATTCTGGGCTTCTTTTTTATTTTTAGATAACTTAGTTAGTTGTTATTCTTGGCTGAATAACTTTAGAAGGTTTTAAAAGCCCTTTAAAATTAAATATGTACACAGTTTGGATTAAATGAAAGTATAGTTAAATTTTTTAATTAGCATGTTTTTGTGTTTTGCTTTGGTACCGAAAACCGTGGATTTTCACTGGTATTGGTACCGAATACTGAAATTTTGGTACCGTGACAACACTATATGCATGTATTTATTTTAACCTATTATTTATTTATATATTATTTCTTTAACCTATGTGGATGTGGCTGACCTTGCTGCTGTCATACACCTCTGTTGTGCCTGCCGGAGTGGCTACCAGCGTGATGACGTCACAGTCGATGGTCTTGTCTGGGGGAGGGGCCAAAGTGTCTGTGATCACACCCAGAATATTCGAAATGCCCTTCTTCACCTTTTCCGTGGCCTCTGATGAACTTTCGACCTAAAAAAAGCAAAATAGCATATCAACTATCATTTGTGGCTAGGGTTTGCATCTGCATAAACTAAACTAAGGGGGTGATATGTCTAGCTTTAGCACTGAAGAATAAACAAGGTAAGAAGGTAAGCATTAACATTGTTTTGGTGTGTTGTAAAACTGTTTCCTTACTGCCAGTTTGCTCTTAATGGCGCTCGCTGTTGCAACAACGGAGCATGCCGTGTCATGTTGGACCACGCTGGAGAATTCTGTCAGGTCCCGTTTGATAAACTCATACGCCTCAGCTGACTGTTGAGACAACCCATCATTTTATGATTAGTATTCATATAAATATTCATTTCATGAGCACTCATATTCATTTCAAAATATATTCACTCAAATAAACAAGAAATATTCACATAAATAATACAAATACTAAAACCAAATGGACACAAAAATTTCATAAATTATTATTAAATGTTCATGTAACTATTAATTTTATGAACAACACTAATATGTTTTATTTTTAAAAATTATAATCATAAAAATAAAAGTTAAATATTCATTCAAATTAATTTGAATACAAATTTAGGCAGGACTGAAACCAAATTTGATGCATGGTAATGAACACATTACCTGTCAATCATTTTGTACAAAATATTACACAAGAAATCAAATGTACTAATTATGACTACATCCAGCTATCAGTAAAATTATTTGATCTACATTTTGACTCTCCACATTAAAAATCTGGGATGTATTTACATCTAAACCTGGAATTAAACATCGTTTAAACATCGTACATATAAATACTATAAATGTATGTTGGGTTTTTCGGTTCAACTGTTTCACTCGCATTATTATACTGATAATGTGTGAATTAATCATTTTTAATTCAATTTAAAAAGAATGTAAAACCGTAGCATCTAACTAGTGGTTTCATTCATTCTACCACTGCTTATAAGCACAGATCAATCATTGCTTTTCCCAAACACATTGCTGAGAGATTCCTAAAACATTTCAGCATTATAATCTGGGATGTATTTACATCTAAACCTGGAATTAAACATCGTTTAAGAATGAAACAAAGGTTATGACATAAAAAATAATAATAAAGCAAAAGGGGGTACATATAAATACTATAAATGTATGTTGGGTTTTTCGGTTCAACTGTTTCACTCGCATTATTATACTGATAATGTGTGAATTAATCATTTTTAATTCAATTTAAAAAGAATGTAAAAACGTAGCATCTAACTAGTGGTTTCACAACTTCTACCACTGCTTATAAGCACAGATCAATCATTGCTTTTCCCAAACACATTGCTGAGAGATTCCTAAAACATTTCAGCATTATCCATATGATACGTCCACACTGGATCTGATCTGGATTATGGTCTGGATTTGTCTCACCTTGTCTTTGACGGCCTGGAAGCTCTGTGTCAGCCAGCCTCCCCACCATCCTCCTTCTCTGTGATCATCACACATGATTCAAATCATTAGTAACTTTTTTACTTTTTTTTTTATTTACAATCACAAACTTAAACAGGATGCAGCTCGAAAATTACACAGAAATTACCGATAAAAGCTATAACGTATGATTACAAGCCCTCTACACTCACTTGACTGTCGCAGTCTGACTGTTCAGAGATAGGCTCGAGAAAATCGTGTTTGGTCTCCTACTGTATCGCGTACCTTGTCAGTGTCGTGTGCTTTGCTTGGCCATTTGTTGTGATAAACAGGAAAGTGTGTCCAGCTGAATTCAATTTGAGTTTTGTTAAACGAATAAAAAAAAAGCTTAGTTTACTGCGGAAGCGGTCGCAGCTGCGGTCGTGTGCAAACCGAAGAGTGTAAAGACCATCGACTCTACCGTGCGACTCCACCGGGCAGGACACCGGCAAAGGACATAAGTATCGCTTTTTATGTCTCCTCTTTCCTATTACTTGTTTCCCTTCTGTTTCAGTTTTTCTTACCCATTTTTCTTACTATGTATCAGTA